CAGGGAGCCTGCCATCCCTACAGATGCATGAGAAAGAGTAAGATATACACCCTTGAAAGGGCCCCAGGAGGAACATGGGGGTGGTGAACCCCACATATGCACAAAAATGAAGCCCTTCCTCAAATGGGCTGTCTGGGGCGGGGGTGGGGGGATCATGACAGTCACAGGAGGGGGAAAGCTGGAAGGTTGGCCATAGGAGCATCTTTGGTTCTTCTTCTTAGGAAAAACTTTCCATGGGACAGAGTTTAGGTTCCTCTTAGCTTTAGTGAGTAAGGCTGCTTTGAGGTCACCCTACCTTGGGCAGGGCTCAGCCAGGTCCAGTGAAGCCTCTGGCATGTGGAGCAGACCCAGGGATGTAGCGAGTGAGTGGACAGAGGGACGGTTACACAGGAAGCTGGAATTCTCAGCTATCTAAACTGTCCAGGTCATCCCACCCCGGGCCCAAGGGCAGGCCAAAGACAATCTGTCCATGCCAAAGTGGAGCTCCAGAACTTGCTATCCACTCCACCCCACAAGCATACTCTGCCCCAGAGGCTGTTCCCCAAGCCCAGCATCATAAAGCCAGCTGGGACTGGGGCGTGCCCCTGAACTCTTGGGGCCTTGTTTCTCAACCTGTTGAAATACTTTCTGAGTCAGGAACTCCAAAATCTTCCACACACTCCCCTCTCCCTCCTCCACTCCATCTCTCCCTCCCCCACCACTGAACAAGGCTCCGCCTGGCTTTAAGCACTCAGACCAGCAGAAGTACTTGTCCAGCCTCTCCTGAAAGTTCAAGCTGGTAAAAAGCAAATCCACTGAGGCCACAATGACCTGCTGACTCCAGACGCTGATAAAGGACCTGGTACATGGTGGGGGCCTGCAGAGATCAAAGCCCACAGAGGAAAGCCTGGGGGTCAGGTGTGGCTGTGGCAGTTTGACATCAACTGGGACTGGCTGTGACTCCATTTCCTCCTGCCGTCAGCAGGTCAAAGGTGCAAGGGTAAGTATGACTGTTCTATTGCAAACCAGTGGAAAGGGGGTAGGATGATGAACTGTGGCAAGAACTCCCCAATCCCACCATTCTATCTCCTCATTCTGGGCTCTCTTAAGCCCAGCCTCCCCTCCCACAATGCGCAGCCCCTCCCCACCTGCCCCTGCTGGAAAGCATTTAGATTCCGCTAATCTCCAGACTGCTGTTCCACCAAGGCCATTGCCCCCAAAAGAGGGGGCCCGTTAGACAGCCACTTCTTATTCTTTGGCAACCTGGGCAGAAAAACTGCCCTATCCCAACATCTCAATGCTAAAATTCAAGGGGAGAGGCAACCTTTCCATGTCTCAGTCCCTGCTAACAGGAACAATGGTCCTGCACCGAAATAAACGATCTCCTGCTGCCAGAAACCCGGGAGGTGCCCAGCCCAGACACCAGAGGCCCAGGTGTAGAATCTGGTATCCTCTCCCGCTTCACTCCCGTGGGTGTGGCCTCCCCATCCCAGTCCTATTCTCGTCTTCTCGGGGGACAGAAGCGGCCGGACGTGGCCCCATCACACTCCTCCTGGGCTTCCAGGCTGCGCCCCCACCCTCACCTCTGCTGACGCAGGAGTCTCAGGAGCCCGCACTAGCAGACATCACCGCCCTCCTCCCCGAGGCAAGCTTGGTTCAGAGAGGCTACCCGTCCAAGGTCACACAGCAAGGCGGTGACAACAGCGCTGGAGAGAGATGGGGTGGGGGGGAGGGCTAACAACAGCGCTGACCCCATCATGCCGCCACCCTTATTGTGTCACACGTACCCCCGACAACACCCCGCAAAAAACAGCTCCACCAGCTAACGGTCATCCGCGTCCTGGGGCCGGACATCTCCTTAGTTCATGTGCCAGGGAACCCTCCCAGATCCGCCCCGGGGAGCAGAGACCCCCGCCCCGCCTGATGGGGTGCTAGGCACGACAGCCTGGGACTGCCGCGGGGCCCGCAGGGGATCTCTGCTAGCCGGACAGAGCCAGGAGGGGGCGGGAGGGGCAGGCTCACCGTGCGGAGCGCACCCCGGGACCCGGCCAGGCACGGACGACCCCGGCGGCGGCAGTGGCAGTCGCGGCAGCAGCGGGGGCTCAACACCAAGCACGAGGAGGGAGCCCCGCGCCGCCGCCGCCGCCCGCCCCTCCGTCACGCCCCCGCCTCCACCGATTGGTCGGTCTAGGGGGTGGGGCCTGGATGCTCCGGACCAATGAATGGGCGCCAGAGAACCACCTACGGGCGAGGGGCCACCGTATCACGTGTGTGGGGTCTTGCGGCTGCGCCGTGCGAACTCTCGGGTAGCCTGCGAGTTCTCGCGATGAAGAGCGACAACTCATCGGACGTGGCCGGAGGCTGGACGGGACCCAAGGGAGAGAGGGAAGGAGGAGCGCCGGGAATAGGGTACGGCCGCGTCACTCCTTCAGTTGCGGCGTTTGCACCGCTTCCCAGCGTGGGGCCTGACTCCCTCTGGAGCAGCTGTCAGGCGGGGCTCAGTTAAGAGGGGCACCTGAAGGCCACCTTTCTTCCTAAATTTCCAAGCCGGCTTCGGCAGTCGAGGCAAGGGCCTGTTCAGGAGCTGCGAAACCCTCTCTACGACCCCCGGGTTTCGACCCTTCCCCTTAACGCTGGGCCGCCGAGGAAGCACTCCCTCGAGAACCAGAGACGCGTGCTAGGAGCCCGGCGGGCGGGGATAAGCTTCGGAACAAAGAAGGCACGCGAGATGGGGGGTTGGGAGGGCCTGTGTCTTCGCCCCAGAGGACCTCATCCTCCACGCCCGGTCTCCGGGGAGGCGGTCGCCATGGCAGCCAGATGCGCGTAGTTTGCCCCGCCAAGTTGCTGCCGTGCGGGAGGCTTTGTCCTCGGGTCTTCAGGGGGTCCAGCGGTGGCTTCACCTACCGCTTTAAAATGACAGGCCCCCTCCTCGTTTTACTGGCTGAGACAGACAGGGTCCCTTACTATGCCCGCAGGAGCAAGCTGCTTCCTCCTTCCAACAATGGGAGGACAGCTGAGAGCCAACTTTGTAATCTACCGAGGTCTCTGCCTTGTTCACCTCCGCTATCCCTGTGACACTCTCCTTCCTTGACAGATTTATCTCCCCAGCTTATTTACATCGCGGCCTCCCCTGCTGCCTAGTGTTCTAACTCATGACAGTCTCAGAGAGCCTTTCAAACTTTTTAGCAGCGTTGTGGGTGTTTCATGCGCTCTCTGGTGTTTGAGTTGTCCCCCAGCACAGGCATAGGAGAGTAGCACATTCTACTCCAGCCCACCCACTCATACCAGATGCTGCTTTCTCCCCTGAAGGTTTTAGGCGCCCCACTGCTGCTCGCCTCATTGTACTCCCGTCTGTCCTATTCTTCCAAGTCTAAAGTTGGCAGACTGTGAACCCAAAATAGGCTGCAAATGTATTTTATTTAGTCCACATGAGGCTTTTAGAAATTATTATTTTTTTATTTTTTAAAATTTAATTTCACATCGTTCTTCATTTTGTGCCTTTTTCCATCCCGGTTGTAATCCCCGTGGACTTCCCATCTCCGATTCACCCGTGTGCCATCACCATAGTCCCGTGCACCTTTTCCACCCCATTTTTTATCCCAATCCCCACTCCACCATTTTTAGAAATTCTAGTTCTCCTTTGTCTTCCTCCTCATTCCTCTTTTGATAAATCAGATGATGTTGCAACTTGGACATGCCAGCCTGGCAAATATGTATTGTGTTGGCATCTGCTCCATTTCCTCCCAGTGGTAATTACTGCCATAGGTATTATCCCTTTTGCTTTCTATCCTTGGGTGGTCAGCTTCTCAGACGGCTCCCACAATCCCTATGTGCTCCTCTCCCCTTGAATGTGACCTGGACCTAGTAACTTCTAGCAAACAGAATATGACCAATGTGATGGTTGTCACATCATGATTCCATTGATGAGATGAGACTGTAACTTCCACCTTGCTAGCAGACTCTGTCATCTCTCTCCTGCTGGCTTTGATGAAGTGAGCTGCCATCCTGGTGATGGCCACTTGACTAGAACATGCAGACAGTCATTGTCAACAACTGAAACCCTCATCCAAGAACACACAGGACCTGAATTCTGTTAATAACCAAGTGAACCTAGAAGTGGATCCTTCCCCTGTTAACTTTTCAGATGAGATCACAGCTCAAACCAAGTAACATCTGTAGCTTTTTGAGAAGTATGCAGCCATACGTGGACACTTGAAGTATGAAATAATGTACAGTTTTAAGCCACAAATGCAGAAGTCACTGTGACCCTCTACAAAGAGTAAATACTGCAGGAAATAAAAACAGCTGGTTATGGAGCTCACCACATTAGGCAGAGCTGCGATTCCCTGTCACACTAAAACTAATGTGTCTACCTGAAAATGAGGAAACTGGAGAATTGTCTTTGTCAGAAAGAAACAACACAAAAAGTTACACAGTAGTAGGTAACTAATACAGGTTCTTTTCTGTTCTTTTGCTATTTCAGTGTTGCAGTGAACATTGTAGGGGTCCCCAAACAAGAGCTTAAATTTCCCCCTGGGGTGTATGCTTAGGAATAGATAATGGCAGGATCTTAGAATTCATAGATGTTCAATGTCACCCGATTCAGTAGTGTCACGTGACCATGGTTATCTTGGTCAGGGTTAAGAGCCAAGTTTGGCCTCAGTTCATAGAACTTGGGATTAATCTGTGGGCAGGATTGGAGTCATGTGGAGGACATTTAGGGGGTCAATCCATGTACAGGGTTGAGGTGAGTGTGTGGCTACCCTTGAGACTCTGAAGTCTGGAATTTAGGGTTTTTCCATGGTATTGGAGGGCACTGAGTATGGGTTTTGGGTTTAAGTCTAAGATCAGAATTACAAGTCAGACTGCCCTAGACAAGACCTAATCCTTGGTGATATTATTGCCTAATAGAGGCCATCAGGGCCTACCCATTTTCAACCCAAAAGGCTTTTTAATTCAAGGGTTGGGGATTAGGAACTAGTTCCCCTCAGAGGTCCCAGCAAAAAAAGGCAGGCACAGGAGAAGGCACAATACCTTTAATGAGGGGCACCTGTCCCATATCCCCCAATTCTCAAAGGTACTGCATAGGAGGGGAGAGTGACTGGCACAGGCACTGTGGATGCCTTCCCCACACCTGGCTGAGCCCACTCCTCACCCCTTCCTCTCCAGCTGCTGCTCTCTCCAGCCTTGAGCCTGATCCCAGGTGAGTGCCTGGGAGGGGCAAGGGAGCACCTTAGCTGCTGGGGGCAACTTCCCCTGTGGCCCAGGGGTTGGAGAACTAGCCTGGACAGAAAGGCCACTGTCCTCAGAGCTGGGTGGGGACTTAGTCTTAGGATTGTGGGCTGAGCTGGGGGCCAGCACAGGGAGCACCAAGGCAGAGGCCTTGGTTTTGGGGTGCACGTCAGGTCTCTGCACATGGCTTCTGGGTTCTGGAAAGCGGTCCATTCTCCTGACCCAGATGGAGTGGAGGAGATGGCTTAGTCCTGGGGCTCATCTCAGAGGGGTCCCGACACACCCCGACCCCAAATGGAGGAGCTCACACCCCAGAAGGGATATTGGAGCCGCTGGCTCCACCCACCCATTTGTCCTTCAGTGGATGGGTGGGTGAGTAAGTCGCATTGGTTGCTCAGAGCCGGAGTTGGGTTTTGGCTGGTACTAGGGCATCCCACAGGCTCCCAGCGCTCACCGCTGCTTACGCTCCGCCTGCTGGAGCCTTCGGGAAAGGTCCTCTATGCGCACGTTCTTGAGCTGAAGCAGGTGCTCCAAGCGCCTCACCTTCATCTGCAGGACCTGGTCGGCACCAGGAAGAGGTCAAGCCCTGCCTCTCCATTACTGCCACCCAACTCTGCACCTTCCCTGTGCACCCTCACCTGCACTGTCTCCTGTGAGGCCAGCAGCTCCTGCTCCTTTTCAGCGATCTGAAGGACAAAACTTGGATCCCCCTGCAGTGCCTGGCTATATCCTGGAGGGCGGGGAGGGGGCAGCTGCGCCCCCCTGGTGTGGGAAGCAACTTAGCAGAGGCCTGACCTGGGGGGGCCGTCATCCTTCCTGTGTTCTCTTAGGTGTTTTCTTCTCCCCTCCACCCCCACCCCCTTATTTCCTGTGTTCCCAGACTTTCCAGACACAACCTGTCCCGACCCTCACCACTCAGTTCTTTCTAGGGAGATTGTCTGACCTTATAAGGTCAAGAACTCCCAGCTTCCTTACCTGAGCTGCCCCCCTCCCTTGGGGTCCAGAGCACCGTCCCCTGTGACCTTCTGGGACAAACCTGAGCAAGCAAAGTAGAAAACAACACTGGAACACTTTTTCTGTCTTCCCGTCCCCACTCCCCAACCACCCCCTTAGAAAGGAAGGACAAGAGGAAGGTTCCTCCTGGGAGGAAGGGAAAGTAAAGGCCACTTTACCCACATCCATGTAGCCAGTGCCATCCTGTGGTGCCAGCTCCTAAAAGAACCCCAGGGGTCCACTGTGAGTGAGAACTTGCATCCTCAAGGAGCCCCATGTCCCTTCTGTAGTCCTCCAGGTGAGGCACCCTTCCCCCACACTTATTGCCAAGGACTTTATACTGCATGGGAAGCACCCTTGGGTAGTGGAAGAAGCCTGAGGCGGGCACCTGTAATGAGCCTGTGCCCTGCTTCCGCTGTCTCTGCTGCCGCTCCTCCAGGCGCTGCCTCAGAGGAATGAGCACCAACTCCACCACGCCTGGAGCACACTGAGCAATCTTGCGCATCACATCTTCTGGCACTGAGAAGTTCAGCTTGTTCAACACCTTCCTGGGGAGGCAGAAACTGGGATGATGGACTGGGTTCTGGGGAATGAAGTAAGGAGGGGAGGACGGAAAGGGGTGCAGCAGTTGCAGTCCTAAGCATGCCATCCTAGGGGGAAGGAAGGGCATTGCATCTAAGCCCTGTGCTTGGGTGTCCAGAGGTCCCTTGCCTCCCTAGTTAAGAGCATTTTGTTTTAATTTCAGACATGTACTGTTCTTGTTGTCTTCCCCACCCTGTTACCCACACAGTCCTAGCCTCGGTGGAGGAGTTTGGGCTAGCCCTTCCTGGCATAACTGGATAGGGGCTAGAGATCTGCCTATGCACCCATGTTTTCTGCTACCTGTTCAGGTGACCCCAGTTGCTGAGTTTCTGCTGAAGAGAGTTGGCAGGAACATAATTGTGCATCTCCACCATCTTGGGGAAGTAAAACTTGACAACCTCGGCAACCAGGACTGAGGTGTGGAGTGGGAGCAGACGTGGGGATGGTAAGGGAAAGGGAGAAATGCATGGGGTGAGAGAATGGTGGGGGGTGACAGAGCGGTGGGGCCAGTTGGAGAAGTGGATTTGTGGGAAGGGAAAGAGTGATAAGGAAGAAGGGGGTGGACAAAAAAAAAAAAAAACAAGATCAGTGATAGCTAGACACTAAACCTCCAGCATATCCTAGGGGAACTATATCCATTTCCCATTAACTTAGGGCTTCTGAAAACAGGTCCCTGGTACTCTTGCAGAGAGTGAACCTCCAAGACAGACTTTCAAGAACCTGAAGCCTCACCCTAAGAACTCACATTGACACAAACGTGCTCCAACATCAAGGTGTCAGGAGAGTCTCAGACTCACACAGACAAGACACCTATAACAAGATCCCCTTTACAAATACGCACACAGGACAGAATGTATAAACACAGGCACACGTACAGCACATACAAAACCACATAGAAATGTACATACACACACTTCCATTACTGGAGTTCCAAGAGACACTCATCAACATGCATACATACACACACAGATTGTCACATCTGATTTGCCAATATATATGTACGGAGAGACAGCGTGCATACACTTCTGGCATTGAAATTCCAGGAGACAGACTTATACATACATACAATCACAAAGAAAGCACACGTACACACAGACCCATTACATACTACAGAGGATAAAATGTGTCAATAGGCGTATGAGCACAGACTCCCACAAGAGAGAACCTCTCTGACTCTCTCACACACTTCTATTAAAGTCCTGAAATTGACACCCCCCCACCAAAAAAAAGCCTGTTACATGCACACAAACAGAAAGGCATACAAATAGACCCCCTTCCACACAAAACACAAGAAAGAACATGTAGATACACACGGACAAGCAGGCACGCACAGATACACTCTGTAGTGCACACCTCCGTCACTGAAGTCCCGTGAGAGATTTCGCTTGGGCCGGGAGAGAGGGATGTTGTCCACCCACAGGTACAGCTGGTGTAACGCCTCCTCGTCCACGTTGCCCGCCATCGGCGCCCTCAACAGACTGTTCCAGCCGTTCAGTGTCCAGTCCTAAACTCAAGACACCTCCAGCGCTTTCTCTCCCTCCACTACCGGCGCTCAAACCAGCCTCTACCTCTCTAAGCCTGAGTCTTGTCCTAGCTGGGAGCGGCCATATTGTTTTCTGAAACCATGGCAACCATCAAGCGTCTCCGAGGACCATGGGCTTCTGGGAGTTGTAGTTTCTTCTCCATGACCTCCTCTCAAGATCGACCTTTGAAAAGATGGCCTTGTCTTCCTCGCTCCCCAAGAAGAAATCACCTCTCCGCCCGCCACAGACTGACCAGCCACTGGCCTGCTCTGGAGCCTGCAAAAGCCAAGTAGGCCCACAGAACCCACTGCACCAACATTCCCAAGGCTGGGACCCCCATCCATTTCTGGGTCCTTTGACAGTCAGTCACATGTGAAGGCAGCATCCTAGTGTTTGTCAGCTTTAACTGGGGAGTCCACTTTGATGACCACTGCTTCCCATCTGGAGTGTGATAGCCTGTGTGACAGCCTCTTTGCCAGTCACTCTCAAGGTTCTGTGCTCATGGGTCATCACCACTACCCACCAACCTCCACCGCGGTGTCCCCTGTGGCACTTAATGTGTGACTTACACTCCCAGGGAGAACTCCAGAGCCCAAGGTTAGAGTCTTGGTAAGCCATTTAATTCCTGAACCCTATCTCCTGCTTTGTGAAATGGGGATAGACCTCACCTCTTTGTCCCCTAGGGGTGATAGGAAAAGGATTTACGGTAGATACGCTACTTGTGTGGAGACTAGGGAAATGGGAGTTGCGAGAGCTCCTATAGACACTTCCCATCCCTTGGCTCCCTCCAGGGAGCTATGGTTAGAAGTTGGTTCAGTGCCCAGTTCCGTTTCAAAAGAGCACCACCGTTAGGGGGGTTAGGAATATGGGTCCTTCATGCAGATAGTGGCAGAACAGGGGCACTTCCCAAGTTAGTGGATGGAGAAAGCTGCTTCCACCAGGCTAGCAGTTGTGGCTCTGGGTATGGCTGGACCACCCTGTGCCTGCTTTTCCGTGGCTTTACCTACCTCAGAGGGGCTTTGTGAGCATCTGAAGTGCTTAGCACAGCACCTGGCATACAGCAAGGGCCTACCTGACAACACTGTCTGGTGTTATCATTGAGGTGATCGCAGTTCCAGCAAGAGGTGTTTTTGTTGGTAGGAGACACACGAAAGTGATTTGCCTTGTTGGTATCTGCAGTGAGGGACTTGAGTTGGCCAGGGACACTTGGGGAGGCAAAAGAAGGTCAGGGTAGGCTTTCTGGTCTCCTCTAGATCACAGATGGGCTCCAGGATGGAGATTAATGGGGGTATAAGGGAAACCCCAACTACTTGTCCCTGCCACTTAGTTTTGAAGCCTTCAAAACCTGGAAGGAATCCCTGAATGCTTAAGGCCCCGTGTGGAAGCTCTGAAACCTTTGCATTTAAGTCATACAAAGCACCTTGCCACACCCATGGCAAGTAAGGGACAAAAGATGACCTGGGTCCCCCCCCCCTTAACATTCCAGGGTGGAGAGAGGAACTGCAAGGAGGTGGGGGAGGGAACCACAGGGGTGACATGCCAGCCCCAGTGGAGGTGGGAAAACCGGTTTGGGGCCCAGAGCTGCAGCGGTGTTCAAGCTCAGGCCTTTTCCCTAGCTGGCACTGTGGGGCCTCAGGGCCTCAGTGAGGGTGGGCCAGGAAGGGAGAGGCTGAGTCCTGAGAGAGAGAGGGAGTTGGGCCAGTGGAGGATCCAGCTCTCACCCTGGGCCATGGATAGGGAGTCAACTCATCCTCAGCCTTAGGGGTGCAATCTGACCCCAGTGATTCCATGGGCCAGTCATTTCACCTTCCCTTTGCCACTGTCTCCACTGACAGCCACCAGGTTGAGAAATGCCAATCACTGAAAGGCCTAAAGGGTTCACCAAAGGTAAACCAAGGAGTGCCCTGCAGGCTCCTCCAAACTCTAACTGGGACCTGAGATGCTGCCCCCACTCCTACACAGAACTTCGCTATCAGACCTTGATAAGCCTAGAGGCCAGGTGCCCGGAGTTTAACTTGGCCCAACAGGACAGCTGGCTCGCTCCTCCTGTCCCAGCCTCCAGAGCCCAAGCTTTTCTCTAACCCCAAAACAGTGCAAGGCCAGCTTCCTCAGATCAGTGTGGTGCACTGAAGACCCCTTCCTCCCCCAGCCTAGGTAACATTTAGATTTGGAGGAGGCCCCGCACCCGGATCAGGGCCTAGGCTGTGGCCACCTTCTCAACACTTAAGCAGCTTCCATGTCCCACCAGAGCAAGAACTAAAGGGAACCGGGAAGGAATGTTTCCCCAAGACAGACGCAAGCCCAGACCATGAAGGATGCACCCTTGGCTGTTAAAACGTTCACCCCCACAAAAGGGGGGTGAACGGATTTATTGAATTCATACTGGGAAAGGAGCAACTGGATGGCTGGACTCTGGGCCCAGCCCCAGGCCCCCTGCCCAGGAAAGGGCCCTGCCAGAGAGGGATGAGAGGCATGGGGCCTGCAGCTGCCCACAAGGGAAGCGCCCATTATCACTCCCCTGGAGGGCCTCTTGGGAACCTCCAGTCTGGAAAGAAGACCAAGGGCCAAAGTGACATGGACTGGGCCAGAGAAAGGGATCAGGACGGTGGGGAAGCAGGCAGAGGCAGGCTCAGGCGCCTGCGGTTAGACTGTGCTTCTCGAGGTGGCCTGGGGTGGGGGTGGGGGGCTGCCAGCCTAGTTGGGGCCTAGGCTGGACCTTCCTATGGAGCCCTTCCCAGAATGGCTTTGGGGTCCCCCCCACCAATGACCTGCTGTGGACGGCAGAGGGGAGAGGCACTCTCCGGCCAGGAGCTTCCAGGGCCCATCCCTGGCTACTGCTGTGGCCTGGTCCACTGATGGCATGGTGTGGTAGCACCGGACAGCTCCCCCACCCTCCCCACCTGGTCCCCCAAGCCCAGGGGCAAATGGGGAGGAAAGAGGATTCTGAGAAAGAGGCAGTAAGCAGGCAGTGAGGCTGACGCCAGACCTGGGCCCGACAGAGGTGCCTGGGCATGTCACAGGGCCAGGGCAACATTACTAAAGGATCGGGGGCTCCCTACTCTGGCCCATCCACAGCGGTGCCCAGAGAGTCCTCCGCCCTGGGCTGGTGCTGCCACATCCAAGCTGGGAGCATGGCTAGGCCCAGTGGCTCAGCTTTGATGTCCGAGACCCCGAACGCCTGCCTGCCTGGCATGGTTCTTTCTGGTCACATGGATCAGATCATGTTCCAAGTGGAGGATGTGGCTCTGCACACGGTCGTCAATGGGGAAGGAGGTCAGGTACCTCTTGACCATAGCAAAGTAAGCCATGGCTTCCCCAAAGCTGGGCACAGGCACCTCATCACCATCCTCATCATCATCTTCGTCATCTTCATCCTCATCATCCTCCTCCTCCTCATCCTCTTCCTCACTGTCCGACTCAGAGTCCTCCTCGCCTTCCAGGAAATGGAGGGTGGGGCACTGGGCCTCCTCCTGGGCACCATAGCCCCCAAAGCTGCCACCAGCCTCCACTACGCCCTGGGCCCAGTCCTCGGCCTCCAAGCCCTCAGAAGAGCTCTCCTCCTCTTCCTCCTCCTCTTCATCACTGTCATCCTCGCCCTCCTCTTCTACCTCCTCTTCCTCCCCCAATTCCTCTCCTTCTCCCCCTTCTTCCTCTTCCTCCCCTTCCTCCTCCTCCTCCTCTTCCTCCTCCTCCTCCCCTCCTTCCCCTTCTTCTTCCTCTTCCTCCTCCTCTTCCTCCTCCTCCTCTTCCTCCTCCTCCCCCTCACTCTTGAGGGCAGTGGTGATGGTGGCATCAGGGCCACCCCCAAAGCCAGCTTCCCGAAAGCAGGCAGCTATGTCCGCGGGCTCCACCGCCTGCCAGGCTGCAGCCACAAAGTGCAAGGCCTCCATGAGGCCCAGCTGCAGGCCCGAGCGATCCTGGCCCTCTAGGGCGGCCATGGCCTTGAGCAGCATGGCCTGGCGGTAGTGGCCCTTCACCTGCTGAACCACTCCCCGCTCCAGCGGCTGCACGGTGCCAGGCGGGAAGAAGGCCAACTGCACATGCCTGAGACCCGAGGTGTCCAGGGACTGAGCAGCCAGGCGGCCGGCCAGCAGCAGGACTCGGCGAGACTCCGCGGCCATGCGGGTGTCCAGGGCCTTCAGGTACTTGGCCAGGGCCTGGGTGGTGACACCCCCTTTAGAGTTGGCGGTGTAGTCGCAAGGCAGTCCCGCCTGGCCTGCGCGGGGCTTGGCCGACTTGCCAGCCACAAGCGGGGGCAGCTTCTCGCTGCCATCAGCGTTGGCGCACAGCAAGACACTCAGTCGCTGGGTGGCCCTGCGTGCCCGTCCGTCGCTGCCACACAGCCCCGCGGCCTGGTCGGGCAGGAAGTCGTACCAGAGACTGGTCTCGATGGCGCTGAACACGTCCTGGGAGGCATAGCCCTCGGCCACGGATGGCGGCTGCTCTTCCAGAGCGTGCCAGCCCGTCGTACCCCCGCCGCTGCCCTCTGAGGGCACCGCGGGCGGACTGGCAGGAGCCGCTGGGGGCCGGGAGACAGCGCTGCGCGCGCGGGCTCGGGCCACACCGCTACAGGACACCACTCCGTGGCGCCGGCGGAAACGGTCCAGCCAGCCATTGGAGGCGGTGAAGTCGTCCATGCCCAGCTCCTCTGCTATCCGCAGCGCCTTCTCCTTGAGGATGATGCCCTTGACGGGCAGGCCGGCGGCACGGATCTGCTGGAACCAGGCGATGAGCAGCCCCTCGAGCTTGTCATAGGGGGACAGCTTGTTGGTCTTGCGGCAGGTGGAGGCCACACCGTACTTGCGCTCCGACGCCAGGATGGCCCGCTTGTTCTTCAGGATGGTGCTCAGCGTGGACGGCGGGATGTTGAAGCGCCGCGCGATCTCGCCCTTACGCAGGTCCGGGTTCTCCTCCACCTCCTGGATGATCCGCGACTTCTCCCGGAACGTCAGCTGCCGCCGC